GGGGGGGGGGGCGACCCTCCCCCAACCAACCAATCAATCAACCAATCAATCAATCAATCATCAGTCAATCAATCAATCAATCCATCAATCAATCAATCAACCATAAATCAATTAATCAATCAATCAAACAATTTTTCTTTCTTTATTTTGTTTCATTTTTTCCCACGTTTCGATGTTTTCTATTTAAAAAAAAATAATAAAATACATAAAAAATAAAATAAAAAATATGGGGGTCTAGAGCACGAAAGACTCATCCCCATACATATATATATATATATTATGTTTTTTTTTGGAAGTTTTTTTCACTTTGAACGGTACCGGCCGTACGGCCGTACGGCCGTACGACAGAGCCCCCGTACGACGTACAGGGTGCAACACATGTCCCGAGGAGGAGGAGGAGGAGGAGGAGGCGGAGGTCCCGATGGAGGAGGAGGTCCCAGTGGAGGAGGAGGTCCCGATGGAGGAGGAGGAGGAGGTCCCGGCGATGGAGGAGGAGGAGGAGGAGGAGGAGGAGGAGAAGGAGAAGGAGAAGGAGAAGGAGGAGGTCCTGACTATGAAGGTAGGGCGGAGGAGGAGGTCCCGACCAATCAATCAATCAATCAATCAATCAATCAATCAATCAATCAATCCATCAAGGAATCCCGTCGAATCTATTGATTTGATACGATCTTGAACTGTCAGGAACTTGTGTAATCAATAGATTCGACGGGATTGATTGATTGATTGATTGATTGATTGATTGATTGATTGATTGATTGATTGATGGATTGATTGATAGATTGATTGATTGATTGATTGATTGATTGGTTGGTTGATTGATTGTTTGATTGTTTGATTGATTGATTGATTGATTGATTGATTGATTGATTGGTTGGTTGGTTGATTGATTGACTGATTGATTGGTTGGTTGCTTGATTGATTGTTGATTGATTGTGACGGGAAAGACGGAAAAAAAAAAAAAAAAGGAGGAGAGCGGGTGTTGTGACGTCTACAATGACGGAGAACAAGGGATTCGTGAAAACGTCACAATCAGAGAAAACCTAACATTTTTTATAGAATGAAAAAGTAAAAGTCAAACTGTTATTTTTTACACAAAAAAAAGCGTTTTTAATCGTTTTGTGATAAAGGAGACAAAAAATCAGGTGAAAAGTCTCGCGTTCCTCAAAACGTGCAAGAAAACCCTTCCTTGCAAAATGCATTCATATAACAATAAGTTTTTCTTAGTAAATTGGCAAAAAAACAGAGTTCGAACAGGGTATTTTTTAAAGATGACAAGGCAAACTTGAAAGATGTAAAAGAAAACGTGTTTTGGTGAATACTCATTTATAGGATTATAAGTCAGTTTCCGCAGTTAGGTAAAAACCAAGCTCTTCACAAAATAATTTATAAGACTATAAATCACGTTTTAACTTAACAATAAAACCCTGATCAAAAAATATATGTCATTTAAAATAAGAATACAAACAACTTTTGCCTCGGAGACACCTTGAAATTCTTAGCCAAATACGAGTTTAAAATAAAAATATAGGTAAAAAAATTAAAAAAGACAATAAAAAATAATATATTTGTCAATGTATGGGAAATCATGTTCAAGCGAACGTATTCACGAACAGGAGAATATGTTTGCGCGTTCGGAAAACCCCCGAATAAATTCATCGTGCTACACATCTTATAGGACTATAAACACAATTTTTTGGAATAACAAAAAATCAGGATATTTCAGTTCTTGAACCTACGGCGCTTAACATGGTTGTGATTTTCTATGAAAAAACCCGTTTTTTTCCTCGCCCCCTCCAATAGTTCTGAAAAATTAATTTTCTGTTCTTTGTTTTTACGGATGTTTCACTTCACGTAGAATTTTGTTTCTGGAGGAGACATGAAAAACGTACTATCACAATCTTGAATAAATTTCGTGCAAACCTAACAATTTGTTTTGTTACGTTTTCACGAATCCTATGTTGGAGGAGGAGGCAGGGGAGGAGGAGGAGGAGGAGGAGGAGGAGCAGATCCTGATGGAGAGGAGGTCCCGATGAAGGAGGAGGAGGAGGAGGTCCCGACGATGGAGGAGGAGGAGGAGGAGCAGGAGGTCCCGACAATGGAGGAGGAGGAGGACGAGGTCTCGAAGGAGGAGGATGTCTAGACAGACATATAGGTCCGTAGACACATGCGATAGGGATAAGAGAGGACAGGATGGATGGAAAGATGGACAGAATGGTACGATCAAAGAGAGAGAGAGAGAGAGAGAGAGAGAGAGAGAGAGAGAGAGAGAGAGAGAGAGAGAGAGAGAGAGAGAGAGAGAGAGAGAGAGAGAGNAGAGAGAGAGAGAGAGAGAGAGAGAGAGAGAGAGAGAGAGAGAGAGAGAGAGAGAGAGAGAGAGAGAAAGGCTGGTGGTCGCTCACCTTATCTGTTGGACTTATTCAGTCTAGTCGTCGCCAGCCTCAGTGCCTTTTGTGTCGTGAATGCGGAGCACTGATGCCTGCTGCCGCTGGGAATCACAGCTGCGATGCCCTCCACGTGGGTCACACGTGCGAAGCCGACCAAGGGAGCTATGGAGGATGGGGAACAACGGGCCGCAACAAGTCAAGGACGAGGACGACAATGGGTGGCGCCGTGAACGACGCGTGGGGAGCGGCGAGAACAAGGATCGGGAAGGGGAGGGAGGCAATGCAAAAGGAGTTCCAAACGGTCGGGAACCAATGGGCACCACTCACTAGTCGCACAAAGTCCAAGTTCAGAATGAATGTTCCCCTAGAACATGGGAAGATAAACCCTCTTTTTTTGTGGCAGGGCGAGCAATGGAGTGAGGCCGACTCGAAACCCGGACTCGAATTCGGCCAACGTCTGGAAGTGCCACAGAACCGAAAAGTTGACCACTTCGGCGGGAATCCCAAGGACGCAAAAAAAAAAAAAAAAAAAAAAGGACCTACAAGTTCAAGTGGTGGGAAAGGGCGGGGGGGAAAGGGCTGGGAGGGGGGCAGGTGGTACTACAAGGGGTAATGAACCACCGTTACCCGACTGGATCCTCTGCCCGCCCATACCCACCCCCATTTTTTTTTTTGCCCCCCGTAACTGTCCGTATGGGTTTTAGTTTTCTATTTGGCTGGCGCTACCTGCCCGTGATCTTCATAAAGAGTAATTGTGCCTACGCGCCATCACCAGAAAAACAAACTTTGCCTGGCCATAACCAACGCCCCCTTCGAAAGTTTGCACCCAGCCCTACCCGTGACCTGGCAGTTACAGTTGGGTGCGGTCGGGTACGGGCAACGGTTACCCATTTGCGCTCTCTGCTCCGTACCTACGGGTGTTCGGGGTCCCGTACGGGGTCCGAACCGGGCAGCGTTCGGCCTCCGCCAAAAAATATTGCGGGGCCTAAAAATACTTTTTTTTTTGAATTCTATTTTGTGAGTTCTCTATGACGTGAGGTACATGCCTATGCATTTTCAAGTCATTTGCTTCAGCCAAATAAGAATTACAAATCACCAAAGATGGCGGTGTCGAAATGTGCTCGCCCACGTTTTTTTTTCACTTTTTACTTTTTGTTTTCATTTTTGTTTGGGGTATTAACAATTTTATTATTTTTTGACTCTTTTTTAGTGGGTTTTTCATTATGTAAAGAATACATCTAAAAATTTCCAGGGCATTTAGCTATGCCAAGAAAAAAAAAAAAAAATCGCCAAAAATGGCGGTGCCAAAAACGTGCTCGTGCACTCACGAGCACGTTTTGACACCGCCATCTTTGGCGATTTTTAATTCTTATTTGGCTTAGCCAAATGACTTGAAAATTAACAGGCATGTACCTCACGTCATAGAGAACTCACAAAACAAAATTCAGAAAACAATAGTTATTTTAAGGCCCCGAAATAAGTTTTGGCGGGGCCCGAACGCCAACAGGTTCGGACACCGTACCGGACCCTGAATTCCCATACGTACGGAGGTCTGCCCGGGGACCTCCGTACGTATGGGATGGTGACTCTCTCTCTCTATATATATATGATGATATATATATATATATATAGGGTAACCGGCGTTCGGCACGGGCCGAACGCCCGAACCCGAACGCCCGAACGTATGGGACCCCTTGGGGATGCGTTCGGCCGTTTAAAGCGAACGCGGGCCCAAAAAGAAAAAGAAAGAAAAATCATCAAAAAAATCTGAAAAAAAAAAATGTTATGGAGAAAAATAGATTTAACAATATTTGCCCGAGCATCACATCCGAATTCCTTACCGAATTTGAAATAAAAATAAATAAATAAAATTAACACTAATAAAATCATTAATTATTTTCAAAAAAAATATTTTTCGAACTAAAATATGAATTTAAATTTCTAAAGTTATTATGCTACTAATAATAAAAATAAAAAGAAAATTAAATTTAGTGAGTGCGCGAGCATGTTTTCGACACTGCCATCTTTGGCGATTTTTTTTTTTTTTTTTGGGAAACCTAAATGGCATGAAAATTTACAGATTTGTACTTCACATAATAAAAAACCCACAGAAAAAGTTTCAAAAATAATAAAATGTTCTAAACCCCGAACTAAAATGAAAACAAAAAGTAAAAAATGAAAAACATATGTGGGCGAGCACGTTTTGACACCGCCATCTTTGGCGTCATAGAAAACTCACAAAAAAACATTCAGAAAAAAAACAATTATTTTTAGGCTCCAAAATAATTTTTGACGGGAGCCGAACGACGTCGAGTTCGGACCCCGTACGGGACCCCGAACGCCCGTACGTACGGAGGTCTGCCTGAGGACCTCCGTACGTACGGGCTGGTAACCCTGTATATATATATATTTTTTGGTTTTGTATTTTTAACTCATGATTGGCTACGAATTTGATCATGACTATAAGACAAAAGTTGTTTGTATTGTTATTTTACATAACATATATCTTTTTCAGTTTATTCTGAGAATTTTTTTTTTTTTTTTTTAATATTTTTTTTTTTTGCATTTGAAGGTTTTTGGACGCTTGTTCACGTTCGGGTGAACATGTTCGCGTTTGCCTCCAAACGCGAACATGGTGCTACGTAGGTGAATACTAATAATAATCTCTCGTGACCTTCTTATTTATAATTTCTCTGCTCGATAATACCATGTGTTAGTGGGTGTATCAAACATAGTTGATTTTTTATATTTAAGGTTTTTGTTTTATTATAAAATACCATTTGTTTGTTTGGAGAATGTCGAAAATGTTGGATTATTTTTTTTCGGTTACATTTCATCAATTTTGTAGGGTTGCAATGCTCAACATTATTACAGAGAAAAAACAGACTGTGGTGTACCTTTTACAACAATGACGAGCATCACTCCCGTTGCCGTGTCAACAGGGGCAGCGATTACCACAATCGACGGATCATTTTCGCACGAATACGAGTCAATAGTGAAATAAGAACTTCATGGATGAAAATTGTTTGTTGTTGTTCTAAGGTTTACAAATATCGACGTATATGATGTGCATTTTTTTTAAAGACAAGGAAAAATGGGACAAGGGCATGATTATGCAAATTATCAAGACACAATTGCGCAAGCCCAAAAAAACAAAACAAAACATTGTAGAGAAAGGGAATAAGACTTGAAGAATGGTCTGCTTTCACAATTGAGTTTCAAAGCAAGCCTGTTCCACCTACTCCGAGGTGCATGTAAGAGGTCTCACACGATTTGACCATGTAGATTCTTATTATTAATGCAATCAATATGATCCGCGGATAATGGAAAAGCAAAAAAATGTTAAGTGGAGGACGCGGATCGATGTTGAAAGCATGACGCATTGTACAGCAACGTAGAAAATTTTAAAATTTGTACTTATATATACAGTATATCTATTGTAACGGACTCGTATATGTATGACTCGGATTCACGATTTTATATAAAACGCACGAGGAAGAAAAAAAAGGCTGCACATTTACATGTATGACAACGGTCGGCATCAAATGTATGCAACTTTTAATAGGCACATATTTCATCCCATGAGGCATCTGATTATATGCCCAAAATGATGTTGTTTTTATAACATATTACCAAAATTTGTTATGAATAAAGAGCATAGTAAATCCACGTTGCTTTTTTGAATGTGCGTGCACTTGAAAAACAAAAGCCCTTCACAAAAACATAGCTTCCAAGCGAATGTTGAGTCAGTTTCACTACATTTCCTGGTAAATTCAACGCATGGTATCACATATAATCTGATAGTTACATTGCCTAAAAAGAGAGAGTTCGAAAAAACTTAACCTTAATCCTTCAAAAAAAAAAGTTCGTTTTGACGAAATCCTTTTTAGTGTATACATGTGCCCGCCCACACACACACACACACACAGCGAGTGCACGCGCTCGAGAGAGAGAGAGAGAGGGAGAGAGAGAGAGAGAGAGAGAGAGAGAGAAAGAGAGAGAAAGAGAGAGAGCTAGAGAGAGATGGAGAGAG